TAACTGCATCATAACTTACATTTGAATCATTTCACTGGACCACTGATGTGACATCCTTTTAGTGGAATGACTATAAGCGCTAAAATCAACATTAAGTAAAAAACTCTGTATATAAAACGATTAGATTGATTTTGTAGTTTTTAGGTTCACCTGTATAGTCTGTACATATTTAGCTTTGGTTGACACTGTATCAGTATTGGTTGTATTTGTTGAAGCATTAAGGTCATATATTCTTGTAGTGTTGAACTGGACTGCAGTATATTACAAATGTATTCTAAAGAACAACCATTTAAAAGTACAACTAAAAATAACACTGAGGTAAATCAGTGCCACTTCGACACAATTTCAACAAAAATTAATCTCCCTCTGGTGTGCAAAGCATTTTGTAAAAGCCCAAAACAGACTGTTTGGTCTAAACATTTGTGAGAAAATGTGGCAGGAGCTTATGTAAACTTTCAATGTGCAGCCACTCAACATTTCATTATAGGATCATAGATTCATTCTCAGTGTTTCCTTCTACTGTACCTTTGTTATGTGGTGGCAAATGTAAAACCATTTTGTTTTTCATCCACAGTACTAGTGTCCGATGTCATGGCAACTGCCAGCAGCACAGACTTGGTGGAGGACAGCTCTGTCCGTCTGTCCTGCTCCTCCTCTGGATCCTCTCTCTCTTTCCTCTGGTTCAACGGCAGCTCTGAGGTTACAGCCGGCGACAGAGTTCAGTTCACTGATGGAGGCTCCACTCTCACTATTAATGTGACGCGCTACGACCAGGGACCATTCAGGTGTAATGTGTCCAACCCTGTCAGTAGTGCCAGAAGTGGTCCAATAAACCTCTTCATCAGCTGTGAGTTACTAACCTACATGCTCAGTTCTTCATCTGACAACATCTGGATGCAAACAGAGATGGAAAGTTTAGATTTTAACAGCTTGGTGAGGAGTGGCCTTGTGTTGTGTATTTTGTCCCCATTGTATTGTCCAAAGTATTAGAAAAACATTTTTCAACCTTATGGAATCAATCAAACTACAGCACAATGCCAACAAGATTATTGTACAGATGGTTTCATTCATAAATTGTTCATTGCAGGCTTGTTCTGTTACATTTCTGGTGACTTGATATATGATAATGCAGTTGTGCATACTACATTTCTGCTGTTGTTTTCCCCTACATGCAGATGGCCCTGATAATATTAATCTGACAATATCTCCGTCACAAGAATACTATGAGGAAGGATCAAACATCAACCTGAACTGTTCAGCTGACTCCACACCTGATGCCCAATATACGTGGCTTCTGAATGGAAATCTGCTGTCTGATACTGGACCAGAGCTCAGACTGATGAACATTCAGGAGAGTAAGAGCGGGAACTACAGCTGTCAAGCCTTTAACAACAGAACTCTGAGATCTATAAAATCTCAGCCTGCAGCCATCTCTGTACTGAGTAAGTTTCAATGAAATGTTTTGTTCAAAGAAATATGGATACAAAAAAGAAGGGGTGATGGTATCAGATGAAGCTTTCTTAAAGCTGGGGTATGCAGTTTTCTGTTGCAAATACAGCCCTCCTCCTGCAGCTCTCCCTTCTCTGTGCTAAGCCCCTCCAATTAGACGGCAGCTGAATTATTGTGACGTCACAAGATCATTCCAGACCACAACCTAAAGAGGTTAGCAAAAGGCCCATCCATGTCTAAAACACTTTGTCTATATTGTCGTGACTAATTACATTTATTCTCTGAGTCTTTTAGACTCTTTTTGAGAAGTCTGTCTTTCTTTAATTGGGTTGCTTTGCAGTGTAGACCGTTGTTGCAAATGCTGGAATAGCAACTTTTACTGCAGGATTTCCTGCCATTGAATCAGGCTTTCACCATCTGGGATGTGTGCGTGTATCTGCATTTGTGGAACAGTTTATAGGAACGCCCTCTCTCTGAAATGAGCTGTGATTGCTCAAAGTCTCCCGTCACCAGGTTTTCTAAAGCCTGAAAAGAGAGCCAAGAGGAGGTGCAGACGTCTAGTCTTCTCTCAGACCACTTGTATCACAATATGCTGAAAGTTTATTCGGGATATTTTTCCAAATGACAACAAAAAACCTGTCTCCCCCGGCTGTAAATTGAAAAGGTTGTATGAAGCATTTGTGGAACAAAAAGAACAATACAAGATACATCTGCAATTGTTGACTGTACAGAGACAACTGAGGCTCAGAATGAAAAATGTTTGAGGTCGAACAAAAAGTACTTCTTGGAGTGGCCAGTAACAGTTGTGGCGAGAAAATATGACTAATACATAGACTGAGGACAGTCATAGTTAAAGACATTCACCGTGTAAATGCACGTTACTTGTTATAACTGCAAAATCTTTACAGTGTTTACAAGGTGAATGTGGTCATGGCTGATTAGGTCAAATAAACAAGGTAAGGTTAGCAAACACTGGTTAAATATTGCACTAAACAACAGATAGTATATGATAAACAAAGTAAACTTTCCTATCACAACATGTCTATGTCCAAGTCGCATACAGACCTTTAACATCGAATCATTATCATGTATCATGGTATCATTAAATTGGGATTCATATTCACTCTCCACATTGCTCCACTCTACTGAACCATGTGCCCTTGGCCCTGAAAGGTGGTCAGTAAAACCACAATGTTTTTCACCCACAGCGGGTGTTGCCAATGTCATGGTGACTTCAAACACAACAGACATGTTGGAGTACAGTACTGTCCGTCTGTCCTGCTCCTCCTCTGGATCCTTCCTCTCTTTCCTCTGGCTGAACGGCAGCTCTGAGATTACAGAAAGTGACAGAGTTCAGCTCACTGATGGAGGCTCCACTCTCAGTATAGTCAGTGTGACGCGCTATGACCAGGGACCATTCAGGTGTCAAGTGTTTAATCCTGTAAGCAATGGCACCAGTGGTCCAGTAAACCTCTCCATCAACTGTGAGTTATTGACTTATATGTGCAGACTCTTTATCCTGCACTATGCTTCAAAGTTGATGTTTCAGTATAATGAGGCTTCACACTGAGAGAAGCTGCATGTCACGTAGAACATTCTTTTGGTGATTCTTCTGTTTTGTTTTTCTACTACTCATATGCCGCACACTGTAGATGGCCCAGAAAATATTAATCTGACAATATCTCCGTCACAAGAATACTACGATGAAGGGTCAAACATCAGCCTGATGTGCTCAGCGGTCTCCAGACCTTCTGCCCTGTTTCAGTGGTTTCTGAATGGAGACCTGCTCTCTGATACTGGACCAGAGCTCAGACTGATGAATATTCAGATGAGTCAGAGTGGAAGATACAGCTGTCTGGCCTTTAACAACAAAACCCTGAAAAATGAAATGTCTCAGCCCTCAGTTGTCTCTGTATTGGGTAAGTTTGAATTAAGAGCATTGGATGTAGTGGATATAGTAGCGAAGTGTCAGTAAGTGTACACTTGCATAGTTTGTATTGGTAAAGTGCGGACTCAAAGCAGTGTATCTTAAAATAACAATAACAATTGTAATTATAAAGACAAACATTAAACATTACAAATGTAACATTTGAATTTTCAGTAAAATAGGTGATATAAAAACAGAAGGCACCTTTTTGAATTTTATATTTCATTGCCTAATCTTGCAGGCAAAGTTTTGCTTTGAAAAGGTCATCAAAAGACTTAACTCAAAATCAATAATTTCCTAAATTCAATGGATTACTGAAAGAAGCTATAATCAATGCTCTATCAACCTATATAGATAGTATCTTTTTTCTCTTTCATTGTTTTGGTTGTCTGGCCTGAAGCTTGACATTTTTGGTTCACTTTTATAGAATCTTTTTCTGCTAAACCAACTGTACACTAACTGCCCTACACCTAACTGCTGACAGACCGTGTTAGAAATTAGCTGGTGAACATAGTAGATCATTTCGCAGCTAAAGCGACATTTTCCCCTCAGGAGTTGGTGGAGAAAGAAAGCAAACTTAAAAGGAGAGTGAATATTGGACAGGTGGACAGAAACACGACTCCAAAGGTTGCTCTGTATGTTCTGCATGTCGAACCTAAATATTTGCTGTATCAACTTGACCACTGATAATGCGTCAATGTTGTGTTTATGGATGACATGCTATATAGAGATTTGTGGTCAAAACTTTGAAAGAATGACATTTGGTCAAACTGCATCTGTCCGCTGTTTTGAGTCAATTGTTAAAAAATCTGGTGCTTCTCCATTATTCAACGTGTGAACTGACACACTATGGTTCTAAAAAGTCAACGGTATGTTGCACTCAAATAGATGATTTTTCTAAATTATAGATTACCCAAAACTGTGTTTGACAGTCTGAGTGTGGACAGTCTGATACTTGGCATGTTATACCGGATTAAGGGTTCTGTAGTTATGTTTGTGTCTTGCAAGTTCCTTTAAATGTATTTACTCAGTCAATTCACAGTAACAGTTACTTTTGTTGCTGTTCTCATATTTTTCACACATCTGTTCCCCAACAGAAAGAATATCAGGTGCTTCTATCACATCGAAAACAAACACGTTGATTGAAGGGAACTCTTTCAACATATCCTGTGATGCTGCTGGCTCTGTGTTTACCAGAGAGTGGATGAAGGATGGCTTAAATCTGACTCCAGATGACAACATGGCATTTTACGACAACAAGAGAGTGCTGTCTTTTAGCAGTCTGAGTAAAAAAGACACTGGAGATTATTTTTGTAACGTCAGCAACCCCCTCAGCCACGATGAAGCTACATACACCATGGTTGTTTTCTGTAGGTAACAAACTATACATTTACTGTTCAAAATGATGACTGCCTTAAATAACAGTGTGCTACTGAAATATTTCAGTTTGTAGGTCTGTAACACACGATTTTTATATTCTTTATTATCTATGCTGCTTTAAGAACTTTTACAAATATCTGTTTTTCAGATGGACCAGAAAATGTTCAAATCAGTGGTCCAAGTGAGATACAATTG